GAGGCTTATTGCTCCCCCGCGGCATCCGTAACCTCAACGCCCCATCGAAAACGAAACGACCCCGGCAGCGAGCAGCAGCACCACCGCTGGGAGGTTTAACGTTACCGGATCCCAGCCCAGGAGAGGGGCACGGAGCACGCTGGAGCGGTGGGTGGGTGACAATCCAGGAGGCTGGCGCTTTGAGGCAATGCGTACAGCCCGCCAACCCCGTTCCATCACAGGTCCTTACCTTTCCCAGCCCCCAAATAAAAAGCCCACGTTGCCAAGGACGTAGCAGGTAGCAGACCAGAGGCCACGAGAGCCATTCCTGGCTGGGCCCCCGAGCAGGGGTGATGGGACATAAAGCCCACAGAAGGATGCCTATCACCACCGCCTGAAATGGCGATCGCATGCCCTTGTGTGTGAACAGCTCCGAGGATGAAGCAGAGGCAGGACAGGAACGGGGGCTTGACAGGAACAGCAGCTGAATTCGAAGGATTGGGAGAGTTTTGGGCACCTGTAGGTACAGCCCCCTGCCCCAGGAAGCACCACGTGCAGAGGGGTATATTCTTTTAGATGCTAAAGGGTTGGAAAATGTGTGTGGAGGAGGTAAAAGCCTGTTCCCCCTCGCCTCTCCTCTTATTTCCTAGAAAGCACAGGGACATCACAAGATGGAGCTCAAAACTGCTCCTGCTTCACAATCTCAGGGCCTTGGAAGGACCCACAGGGAGGCGACAGACAGACGCCTGTGGCTGATAAGAGACAGTAAGAAAGCGTAGACAGCCTCCTGACCAGCGCCGCCAAAATCTCAAGGTGACTAGAGGGGAATGAAAGAAACAGAAGACAAGCATTTTAACAACATCAAAGTCCACCCGAAATGTTCTTAATGGGATATAGTGCAAATAGGAGAAATATTTGCCATGCTTTATAAAAGACAGGGGCTAACCTTTCAGGCTGCTTGGTGCGGGAGAAGAAAAACGTGAGGACAGTGGAGCCGAACTCAGTGTAAGTCTCTGTGTCCCAGGCTTTCCAGGCAAGCCACGCATCCTCTGCAGAGGGAAGGGTCTCCTGTAGTGCCCTCTGGGAAATGACAAATTATCCCACCTATAAGGTAACCAGAAAAAGACCACCCCTCTCCACTCAAGCTATGCAACTGCTCTAACTCAGGATGCCCTAACTAAATGCAGGAAAAATACCGGGAAGTTTGCCTGGAGTTTTTGCCTGGAGGAAGTTTGCTTTGGGGTTCGGCACAGAAACAAATTTTCAAGTATATGGAGCGTACGGCATCTGGGGACCAGAGAGCCTGCACCTGGCTGCCATGGGCTGCGAAGAGGTCACCTCTGAAGAGGAACGTGACATTTTAAGTTACCCAGGCATTCCTCCTGCACTCGCTCTTCTTTGATGTCGCTGCAGATACTGGTCCGTGAGATAAACATAAACACCATCTTCAGGCAACTCTGAACACTGCAAGGAGTTGTGGGAGCCTCAGCATCACTGGATTTTGGCCCTTCTCTTATGCTTCAGGGCATGTTGGTCCCCTTTGTAACAGCAAGATCTGAGCAGGTCTTTGGCAACTCATGACCAGTGGAAGGCATGGGGATGGAAAAGGTGCACAGGAAAGGGCAGAATCCTGCTGTGGATCTCTGTTACAATATTGTCACAACAGCACCTATGGGTTTCAGTGTGGAGCGAGAAAGGTTAAAGTTCATCCTTGGCATTAACAAGATGCTGCAGCGGATGAACCGGTATCGCATGATCTCTCAGCAGCTCATCCTGTGACTCTTCGTGGCTCTCGGGGGGTCTGTCTCCTGAAACGTCTGTAAGAGTGTAATCCTCCAGCAGGCCGGCTTCTACCGCGTGGCGCCGGAGCCCCTCGCTCCCCACGAGCCCTTGCATCCCCACATACCCCTGCCGACAGGAGGGAGGCAGCTTCTGACGGGTGAAGGCAAACAGGAAACAGGACTCTGCAAGGGAAAGGATCAAAAATCAAGACTCAGCAGAGATACCTTATAGAGAATAACTCCCCTAAAGGCGGAGAGGGTGAGGGAAGATGACTGGAGTTTCCCACCCAGCACCCTGCCCCGGATGGCAGCAGAATAATTGCCTCAATTCTGCAGAGCTCAGGAGATGCAGGGTGGGATCTCCAGGCTGCATTCTGAGAGCAAAAGGAGCTGGATTTGAGTTTGCAGCCCTCTGTCATCATCTTCGTACCACAGGACTGCTTCCCTCTATGCAGCATGCGGGCGTCCTGCAAGGAGGTTCCCAGACGAGTCCTCAGACCAGGAAAGGAGGCAGCAGAGGCTCTCCAGCTCTCATATCCCAGCACTCCAATTTCCCATGGGAAAGCAGTCCCATCATCAGTATGTGAAAAGAGATCTGGTACACAATGGCATGAAGGAATGTTCAGATAATAGAGGCAGAAGGAAAGCTGCAGGTAGAAAAGGGGCTGAATCAAACCCCATACACCTTTCCCTAAATCCTTGTGTGCCTGGGACAGTCTGTTTCTAGTGGTGAGCAAGAGCAAAGGCTATCCGGGAACATACATGCAGCACTGGCACTTTTTACCACCAAAGAGGTGTCACTGACAGTGAGATCACCGGCCTGCCACAGGGAGATCTCCACTATTAGCAGAAAAGATTGCTCCTGTCACGTGTCCCTCTCATCTCCTCCTCCTGCCACCCCGACCCTGTGCTCAAATTACCTGCAAAGAAGTTGCGTAGGTCAGTGCTGAGGCAGTTCTCCAAAAAACGCCTCAGCGGCAGGATGTGCGCATTCGGGGCTGTCCAGTCTGTCAGAAAGTCCTCCACAATGTGATGGACAGCATCTGGGCAGGGGAGAGGCCAATCTGGGGGCCGAAGTCTCATCTCACGCTCTGCCAAGAGAACATTAAGGGAATCTCTCAGAATCAAAATGGCATTAAAAAGAGCTTGGGGAGTGGAAAGCAGCTATGACAGCTGTTCCAGCTTTTGTCCTGACCTTTTTAATCCCTACCTTACTTTCATTTGCAATCCCCTCTGCTAGCCCTGTCCTCAACATCCCTGACACTGCACAGCTGCCCCTTGTCCCTGCCCGCAGTACTTCCTCTCATTTCAGTCCTGTTTCCCCCGGGCAGGGACTGCCAGACAGGCTGAGATGCATTCAAGCTTTAACGCTGCTACCCATCATGCTTCTTCTCATGCAAGGAAGGCTGCACCCTGACCCTAGGTTTCTGGAGATGAAGATTCTGCATGCTCATTTCCCAAGGAAATCTATTCTGAGCATGTTTGTTTGCTGGATATAACACAAACTCATCTTCAAACCCTTGCCTTTGGCTGCCTCTGTCACTGTGTGACCTCTCAGACCTGAGCCAGGCACAGAGGACAGCTTTCTTCTGGCAGTAACACTGAACAGCCCAGCCTTGTCTGCCAGGAGTCTGCAAAATACATGCAGGGTGCCAGCAAAGCAAAGCAATGCTCCTCTATTTGGGAATGGGGCAGTTCACAGCACACCTGTTTGTTCCTGTTCTCAAACGTGAAGTGTCTGGTACAATCACCCCCGCCCCGACACCTCGTTATCGGTTTGACCAATAGAAACTTCTTGCCAACGCCCAGCTTTTTCTTCAGCTCACACAGTGGTGGCAGGTGTCCCAGGGGACAGATGGAAGGAAGCGGAGGAGAAGGGTGTGCAATGCCTTCAAGTGTCCCCCCTCTTTTGGATGTGATATATCTTCATCCCTCTCCATTTTGCTCGTATTAGATAATTAGCAGGGAGAGGCAGGAAAGCTTACCTGTTGGGAGGCGTTTGTAATAGTAAATAACAGGGTGCAAAAAGTTGGACTGCCAGGCATGCTGTGCCTCTCCCACGGCCCGGTTGTAGTAGAAGACATCCTTGTCAGCCCCAGAGAAATTCCTCCCATACTCCATGATGACGACAAACAGCCCATTGGGAGCCTTTCTCCCTGTCTGCATTTCCAGCTCAGCCAGGACACCAACTGGGTACTCTTCTAGGTATTCAAATGCTGTGGCATTCCGGTGAATTGCAACCACAACCGTCGGACTTTTCCACCGGAGAAAAGCTAGCTGGGATCCAACACCCCCTCAGCTGGTCAGGGCTAAGGCCAAAAAGCCAGCAGGTAGTAATTATTTTTGGTCATTACAGATCCGGGCTGGACTTGATGCAGAGCTTATGAAGGCTTAAGATGGCGTTACAAGACTCCACTATTCTCCCGGATTATGGGATTCCTCTCTACATAAGCACTGCTCAAGGAAAGCTTTTCCCTGGGCACAGTAAAAGGGTACTACACCTGCGCCTAGAGGGAAGATCTGGACCATTTCAGCCCCTTAAGAGAGAGAAGTAATTGGCAGAATTTGGGATAGTGGCACCAGTTGCGGCAGCAGTACGGGTTTTGAGGTGGCTGCCTATGTGACGGTAAGATCCTTAGGCAGTAATTTGTGTGGTGGCACCACGGGAAGCAATGGTAAAGAAAAAAGAATGAAACGATGGAGTGCAGTGCTGGGAATAATTACTCACTCACTCACTCTCTCAGCAGTATGATGTCAGCCAGGACACTGAACATCTGGTAGAGGCCCGAGGCCTCATTCACCCGCTTGATGATGGAATTGGTCAGCTGTGTAATAGGGTAGACTGTGCATGGCCAGGGGACACCATGGTGACGGTTTTCCAATAGGCGGTGGACTGCACGAGCTACGGCATTGAGAGAAACAAAGACAGCTTATTTAAAAATCCGAGCTTACTCTTTTATGAAATACCATCGCTGTGCTGCGGCACACACTGATACTGGCAGGACACAATAAATAAGCTTTACAGCTCATCCGTGCTCAGGATCTCCCACCCCAACCGCTGGTAACTGCAGTGGAGATGCCCTCTGAAAGCTGATGTGATGCTAAGTGGTTGGTGAGGGGGTGGGGGATCCTCAGGGATATTTCATTGCTTCTGAGCAGTCCTTTAATGATAAGGATGGGCACACACACATAAAGATGGAAATTCTCTTCACTGCCCAAAGCTGCTGGCTTTTAACTCCACAGCACAGACCTCTCTCTCACAGCCTGTCACGAGGCAGAGCATCTGGCAGGCAGAGATGTATTGTATTACATAAATAAGAGACAGTGGGCAAGAGAGGCACAAGACAAAACAAAGACGGACAACCAAAAACTTCAGATATGACCCTAAGTCACTTCTCCTCCACTTCAGATGATGCAGTTGCAGCTTGGCTGTGTTCTGTTGTTCTTACTGCCAGCACAAGACTAAGGATGATCTCTTTCCAGCAGTAAGCCATGAATTGTTCCTTGGAAGGGAGGAACAATTCCCATCTCTGCCCTTCCTGTACACCCCAGTACTCACTTGTATACCGGAATCCATGGATAAAGCCCCCAGCAGATTTCCTGAAGTCAACAGAGTGGCTAGCAGTGCCGAGAACAAAAAGCCCCCGAGTGCCTCTGGACTCGTAACTAGGTTTGATCTGAGGATACTTCTTTTTATTCCCTTTTCCTGGCATCATTCTAAGGGATCTGATGTGCAGAAGAGAAGAGCAGGCTGTCAGGAAGGGCAGGGGTGGAAAAATAAAGTGTTTCTGATAAGGCACACATCATACTGCAGCCACTGCAAGACATTGCTTCACATCCCCACTGCCTTCAGTGGGATCTACTACTTTCCCAAGAGTATAAAGTCAATGAGGATCTTCCAGACGACAAGGGTGCTCATCTCAATTTGCTCTTGTCCAGAGCAAATTCCAGCCTGAGCCACTGACAGTGAAATTCGGAAGACAGTGAAGTTAGCAGTATCATTTTCAACTGCAGGATGTACTGGGAAACAAATCAAGGTGGAGTGAAGGTTGCATCCTCAGGGAAAAAACAGCATACAAAACCCTTCTGTAGTGACCTGTACCTGTACCATCCTCATTCCAAAAAACACCCAAAACATTGCTAGCCTTCTCCATGTGATCTGGCAGGTCAGGATGTTAAGTTCTAAAGGCACAAGCTTTTTCTGTCACCTAAGTCCTAACACTGCCATTTGCTCAGCCCTGCAGCCTGTTGATCAGAAGGCAGTGGTACATACATTCCCACTGGACACGGCTGTAGCTGCAGGGTAAACAAAGGACTGTGCGGAACCAGGTAGCTCAGAGCATGTGGAGGTCCAGGCAACACTGCCAGGAGAGGACCTGTCCTTCGCTTTCCTCCCTAGTCAGGCCCTTCATAGTCTCTCACTCTAAATACCAGCTTCCCTCAAGATCCTGGTTATCCCTCACCTGTTGTAGATAGAGAAGTCAAACTTCCAGCCCAGGCAGCGGATGATACGGTCGTAAGGTGCTCGGGTGGCAAAATTATCCAGTTCGTCCTGTGGCAGGGTGATGGCGTCAATGCCTGCACTGGTGTTCCTGCTCTCCAGGTAGAACCGGAGTGTGATGTGCAGCTTCCCTTTCTTGTCCTTGATGATAGCCAGATCTTCCAGGTCACCCTCCAGAAGCCCATCCAGCGATTTCAGCTGGTAGGTGTCCAGCAGGCCATTGTTAATTGCTCTACAAAAAAAGGGGGAAGGAGAATGTAAGGAGAGGTGGGATCTGTGGTACAGTCTCAGCAGCTGGAAATGGGATACATTTACCAGGTATCCCATGCTCCCCTTCAGTGCAGAGGTTATCCCCAGAGCCTCAGGGCTCTCTGGAACAGGTAACACAGCCTTGCTGTCCTTGCAGAATGTAGTCAACCTCTGAGCTCTCCTCTGCGATTGCAAGCAGGGAGAACAACTTGGGAGCCAGCACTTCTTAATGATACAGTTTCCAAGGGGACATTTTCCTATTTTATACAGACCCCGAAAAGCTCTCATCAAGCTCCTGTGTTCAGCAACTGCAACCTGGACTGCTTTAAACCAAGGAACTAAAGATAGAAGGCCCCATGTTTCTCCAGGACCACAGCACTTCCTATGCCAGTCCAGCTCACTGCCTGGGCAAGAAGCGGTTCCTGTGTTTGTACTCTGACTGCATTAGAAAGAGAAAGAGGAGTGATTTCCTACCTCAGATCCCCGACGTAGTGGGTGGCCCACGAGAGTCGCACGCGGGACCGGCTCACCATGTGGATGAAATTCGTGACACCCAGAATGTTCTCTGCCGTCTCAAAGGCTGAGTTCCCTCGGCCCAAAATCAACACGGTTTGGCCAGCAAAATCCTCTGGGTTGACGGACACAGTCTCATAACCTTCTACGTATTCTGAGCCAGGAAAGTTGACCACGTTGGGGACCCAGGTTCCAGTGGCGACCAACAAAGAGCTGCAAAAACAGGGATAGCACTAGGGAATGCAGGAATTATAAGAATGGGGCCATCACTCCATCTCATCACTCCTCCCTCCTCCCGCTGTGGAAGATGGCTGTGATGGGCCCCCCTCCAGGCACAGTGGATCAGCTGCAAAGGTCATGGTTTCAAAAGAAGCCTTTCTCCAGCTTCACCTAATGACCTGCTCCTGTCTCCCCTATCCTCAGGCCAACAAAGACGAGTAGGAACATCATTACATACTATAGCAAAAGTCAGTATGGGAGCTGTACATAGACATCTCCCTCTGTTGTTCATGAATGTGCAAATACTATTCACGTGTACTCACTGACGACGTGTCTAAAACTAAAATTTCACAGGTTAATTGTATGTTGCATAAAACATTACTTTGATTTAAAATTTGTGTTGCCTTTTAGTACAGAACAAAAATTTTTAAGAGTGATAGAAGATGGTTTCAATATTTTAAAATGTAACTCGTAGTCATAAAAACATGTTAGCAAAACCACTAATTGTTAACACTACAAGTAGTAATCTTTTTACATCTCTCTGTAAAAACTTGAATCTTAGGGAAATTTTTGTGATTTTGATGGAAACATCAGGCAGCTGAGGCTAGCAGCACTGTCTGCCATCCCAGCCTCGCTCATGCAGCTCCTGAGAGTAACTCACTCATGATGTGTGGGTGCCTGGCATTGCCTTCTGTCCCCTCTGAGCTTGCCAGCCTGTGCACCTCCAAGTGACAGCCAGCACGACCTCCTGTCGTAGAGCTAAGGTTCTCAGGAGAGGTGAGAAATATACTCCATATGTTCACACGAGTAACTTCTAGACGGTTTTTAGGAAAGTAGTTCAGTAGCAGCAAGAGATACACATGCGTGAGTATAAGGGGAAGGGGAATTCAGGGAGCAGCAGCCTTGAGCGTTATTTCTCATAGCTGGCTCCCTCTTACTGCAATGGCACCACTTTTCACTTTTCTCTCATTCCTCCCTGCCAGGTCTGTGCTAGCCCAGGGCTTCAGCTGGCTGGGGCATACTTCTAAGCACACGTGGGTTAACGCAAGTGAGGTGTTGCCGCACTGATACTCAAATTTGTAATAGAGGCAGCAGCAGCTACAACAAGTACGACTGAGGTGGTTTTTTTTTCAGAGAGCAGTTATCTAGCGATAAAACAAAAGCGATTTCAAACTCATCTATCAAGGATAAAACCTGTGGTTGATGGCAATTGTGGCCAGTTTTTGTCTGCTCTGCCAGCTCCTCAGCTATCTGAGGCACAACATTGCTTGCGAAAGGCAACACCTTCCCAAGAGCAGTTATTCCACCCACCCACCCCACCAATCCCTGCAAAATGTTTTACCCCCATGACACTGGTTAAGACTCTAAGAGGCTGTGAAACCTCCATCCTTGGAGATAGGCATGCATCAACAGGGCAGGCTGTGAGCAACCTGACGTTGCTGGCCCTCCTTTTGGCAGGGGGCTTAGATTAAATGACCTTTATGGATCTCTAATTTATTCTGCGATTCTGTGATTTTGAACAAACAAAGTCTGTGGAGAGTGGTGTGGCTAGCACCAGGTTTGCCCATTACCTGCACT